CAATATTGTCAGACTGTCAGTTCTTCCCAATTTATTTTGTAGATTCATAGTAATCTCATTCAAAATACCCACAATTTATTTTGTGGATACTGACAAACTGATTCTAAAACTTAAATGAATAGGCAAAAGACCCAGAATAACCAACACAGTATTGAAGGGGATGAACAAAATTGGAGTGCTGACCCTATTTGACTTCAAGACCTACTATAAACCATGGCAATCAAGACAGTGTGTGATTGGGAAAATAACAGACAAATAGATCAATGAATAGAATAGAAAGCCCAGATATAGACCCACATAAATATGATCAAATAATCTTTGCCAAAACTAAGAAAGGCAATGCAATGGGGCAGAGAATCTTTTTAGCAAATAGTGCTGGAACAACTGGACATCCACATCCAAAAAAAAAAAAAATGAGTGTAGACACGGAGCTTACAACATTCAAAAAATTTAATTCAAAGTGTATCATAGACCTTAATGTAGAATACAAAACTCTAAGACTCTTAGAAGGTAACCTAGGAAAAATCCTAGATGATCTTGGGTATAATGGTGACTTTTTAGATAAAACACCAAAGTCATGATCTATTTAAGAAATGATGGATAATCTGGACTTCATTTAAATTGAAAATTTCTGCTGAACAAAAGACAATGTCAATAGAATGGAAAGACAAGCCACAGACTGGGAGAAAATATTTGAAAAAGACATATCTGACATCCAAAATATCCAAAGAACTCTTAACTCAACAGTAAGAAACAAACAACCTGATCTTTATAAGAGTGGAAGACTTTCACACCTCACCAAAGATGATATACAGATGGGAAATAAGCATATGAAAAGTTGTTCCACATCATATGTCATCAGGGAAATGCAAATTAAAACAATGAGATACCACCACACACTTACCAAAATGGCCAAATCTGGACACTGACACCAAATGTGGAGTAACAGGAATTCTCATTCCTGGGCCACTTCAGAAGACAGTTTAGTGGGTTCTTGCAAAGCTAAATATACTTTTACCTCACGATCCAGCAGTCATGCTCCTTGGTATTTACCCAAAGGAGATGAAAACTTATGTCCACACAAAAACCTGTTTGAAATGTTTTTAGCAACTTTATTCATAAATGCCCAAACTTGGAAGCAAACAAGATGTCTTCAGCAGGGGAATAGATAAATAAACTGGTACATCAAGACAATGGGTTACTATTCAATGCTAAAAATAACTAAGCTATATCAAGTCATGAAGACTTGGAGGAACCCTAAATGCGTATGACTTAGAGAAAGGAGTCAATCTGAAAACGCTACATACTGTATGATTTCAACTATATGACTGTGGAAAAGGCAAGACTATGGAGATTATAAAAGGATCATCTGTTGGTTACCAGGCATTGAGGGGATGGAGTAGGGGTGAATAGGAGGAACACAGGTGATTTTTAGGTTGAGGAAAATACTCAGTGTGATACTGAATGGTGGATACATGTTATTATACATGTATATGTATATATGGATTTGTCCAAACCCCTAACATATACAACACAAGAGTGAACTGCCATGTAAACTGTGGACTTTGGGGGATGATGATGTGTCAGTGTATGTTCACCAATTCTAACAGATGTACCATTCTGGTGAGTAATACTGATAATGGGGTGGGCTATGCATGTATGGGGGCAGAGAGTACATGGCAAACTGTCCTGTCAATTTTAGCTATGAACCTAAAACTGCTCTAAAAAACTGTCTTTAAGAAATACAAACATTCATTGCAGTTCATAGCAACGGAATAGGACTTGCTAGCTTTGTGAAGTCCTTCTGTTCATGTAGTTTTGTTGGGGTTGGCAGGGAAAATCTCAAAAGACTGGGTGTAGCACAAAGTGCATGTTCCTGGTGCCTAGGCTGCAGTGGAGGAGGAAGGTCCTGGATGGAGGGAAAGAGCAACAATGCCTGCTGTAAGGGTACCAGCGCCCAGAGTAAGCGAGCCTGAGCATGAGATCTAAGATGCACCAAGGTGCAAGCCAAATAGGGAGCAGTCGGGTGGTCTTTCTGGTTTGGGGTCCTGATCAAAGTTGGGGAGAAGTGGGAAAGAGATCATTGGTTTTATTATTCTTATTTTACTGTCCCCTAAAAGCAACTGAAATGGAAAAAAAAACAATTGGTTGGAGAAAAATAAAAAGTTAGGAAAGAATCTATTAGGTTACCATAGACTTCTGTCAAAGTAACATTCCTTCTTTGCATCCGCTCACCTGACCCACCTGGAGGAATCCTAAGTCATCAGAAAGCTTAGTCATAAGGATTCTTTAGGCTTTATCACACTCTTAGCACATTTGACCAGATGGCTCAAATATATGATCATTTAATTTGGAAAACAGTAATTTATTTTCCTGACTCAAACTAATGGTGTTATAATAATATTCATATGATCTGGGATGATATAAAGCAGATTTGAAGTTATTTCCTCAACTAGGATATTTATAGTAGAATAATTTACACTCAAAACAAACTGTAAATACCTATATTGTCTGCATGTGTTTGAAATTCATAGCAACTGTCATAAAAATTATTTCAATAGCTATTAGAATTCACCACTAAAAACAGTTCTAGGTACTAGTCCATCACAGGTGGAACCTCCAAAAAGGTGCTTCTTTATAACTGGCCTGAAATATATTTTTCATAGAGTGAAGCTGTGTGTGCTGTGCTTATATATAAGCACCTCATGTTGCCTTTCACTGTATTTCAAAATGGAAATCTCTTTTTTGTTATTATATTTAGTTATTTATTGTTTGTGTAATTTAACCAACTCTTCTACCAACTAGAAAAAATGTTTTCTTTTAAATGGAAATGACTATTTATTTATTTATTATTTTAAAAACAGTATATGTCCAGGTAACAAAAATAAGAAAATTCGGAAGACTATAAACATGAAAAAATGATCTCTGTAATCCTATTATACAGAACTAACTGCTCTTCATATTTTGTTGTATTCCATCAAGGCATTTTCCTATGCGTACATAGTTTTTAGAAACAAAAATGTACTCATACTATACATACCACTTTATAATGTCCTTTTTTTCCCTACTTTGAATCAATCGTGAGCATTTTTGTATGTTAATAAAGATGTATTACATTGTTACCTTTAATACCTGCATGAATTCCATTAAATAGGGGTGTGGTATATTTTTAAAAACAATTCTTCTATTGATGATGATCACTCAAGTTTGTAATGTAAAAAAAATACAGCAACATTAGTAGATTGGGAAGGATTTCCATGAAGTAGTATGGAGTTAAAAAAGCAAGATACAAAAATGTATTTATGATTCCATGTTAGTAAAGCCATAAAATAACACTGTATGTGTGTGTATTTGTGTCACTGTAGAAAATAAAGTAAGTGTGGAGAAATATACAGCAAGATGTAATTCAAGGACATATCTGGGATATATAGTAGAACTCGGATATATAGAGAGGATACTGCAATGGGTGGATAAAGGAGGAAAAGGAATTGAGGGAAGAAAACTCAAAAGTAAAGGAAAAAAAACACTGCATTAAATCTTAAAGCATATGTGCTATCACATTATTGTCATAAAAATTACATATAAGAGTAAGCATATGTTTAAATGAATTCATCTAAACATTTTTTGTGTACTTAAAAATAGCCAGATTGAAAAAAACAAAGATGAAAATAGGTCCAAGGTTAATGCCAAACAACCTCAAGTATAACCATTTAAAAAAATAAAATTGGCCATTAAAGAGAAGTTTGTAATTTTTTATTTTTATAAATGAGACTTTATTAACATGTTGGATATCTCTTTATATATTTGTCTAATTATTTCCTAGAGTAAATTCCTAAGAGTACAGTTGCTGGGGCAAAGGGTATTTTAAGGGCTTGATACATATATGATGATAAGTTATCTGTTAGTTAGATTGTATCTATTTGTATTTCCATCAACAGTTTGTAAGAATTCCTGTTTCTTCAGTTTCATCAATGCTATTTACAGTCTTTTAAATCTTTGCTTATGTGATATAATAAAATAGCATCTTGCTGTTTTAATTTACTTTTCTTTGATTGCTAGTTATTTTCATTATCTTTTCATATATTTGCTAGAAGTCTTACTTTTTGTTTTATAATTGTCCTTTACTCATTTTTCTGTGGGTATGTAACTCTTATTGATTAATAAGGGCTTTTCATATAAATGGCTGTTTAACTTTTTATCATATATGTTGCAAAACCTATTTCAATGTATACCATTCACATTTTAAATTTGTTCATGATATTTTAATATACAGAGGTTTCAACTGAACCTTAGTTCTATTGATCATTTCCTTTTATGGTTTCTGGTTTTTGAGCCATGCTTTAAAAAGATTTTCACTCAAAGATGATTATTTAAATAGTTATTTATGCTTCCTATTAGTAATCTTATTGTCTCATTTTACATTAAATGTTTTAAAATATCCGGAGTTTGTTTTTGTGGAAAAGATGAGGTAACTTTTCTTCATGGTTAACCAAGTGATCCCACCATTAATTAATGAATCATCAATTATGGAATCATCTATCCAGAAAGAGGCTTGCTTTTTTTTAATCACAAAGCATCCCTTCTCTTTTATTTGCTCCTGTATTTATTTCTGACAGGAAATAGCTAAAATTGGATGTGGAACTAAAAGCAGAGAAGAAACCAGAAAGTAGCCACCCTAAACAGATTCAGAAGTAACTGTGTGACAACCTAGAATGTACCTTATATAGCTCTATCCTATAGTCCTACCTAGTGATACACAGAAAAATAGGCACTTTTGTGAGTAGACCTAGGTTTGATTTCTTGGCAGGGGCAAGAATAACAAGGCAATTCTTTCAAGATTATTGGGCATCATCTTTGTTACACTGGATTCACAACTTTGTGCCTGTCGTTTTTAAAAGGGGGATGGAATTAGTGAAGCCCTAGAACTTATTTCTACTTGCTTGTATGATTTGTAAGTGGTCATGTTGGGTTTTAATTTTTAAAATAATTTTTCCTTTTAGGACAGAACCTTATACTTTTCCTCGTGCTCCTACTAAGTACCCACCTATCCCTTCCAAGTGTACTGTGGGCACTCAGACTGATTATCGGGATGGCGAAGTCCAAACAGATCCGTATTCTCCAGAATACGTAGTATGTCAAGATTCAATTCCTGAGCTCTTGACGCTGGCTTCTCTTACTTGGGGTGAGTTGTAGGTAATTCTCTTGAATATTTGCAAATCACATTCCTAGTAACTGTGTGCTATTGAATTCCTGGGAATGACACACTTAGAGGCAACTGTGGTTAAATGTTGTTATTTAAAATGTCTTGCTCAATAGAGCTACTACATAGACTGATACTTTTTCTGATACTTTTGTTCAAAGAGAGATACTCTTTTCACTATAAGGAGGCTTATTGTACTTTATCTCTGAAGCTGAAGTTCTATTTTAGCTTAATTTTGTGGCTGCTTTGCTGACTACTCACCTCCCTCTCCCTTCTTTCATTGTTCCTTCCAGTGAATGAACTCCTTTTCATTGAGCAATCCATATTGCATCTTTGCATGAAAACCTTTTTTGAGGGTATAGTACTTTATTCATATTCTTACATATGTAATAATATTATCTTACTTTGTCGAAATATCTTGCAATTTATCAGAACTCTTACATACCTTATTGGATGATTTAAGATGCAATCCTAAACATATCACCTCTGAAGTGCTAATATTGTTCAGGCTCAGAAATGTACTCTTAGAATGTAACAGAATCTAGCCCAAGCTTATATTATGTGAAACTACAAAAATTAGTAAGAGAAAGGCCTTTAGAAATTATTAGACATTAATTTAACAAGCTCATTTGATTGTAGCTGGGAAACTGAGAATCAGAGATGCTGACTCCTCCAGGGTCATGGAGATTGTTGGTACACTGTGATGATTTTTATTAAAATGAGATTACTTTTGTTTCCCCATTATAATGGATTTCTCTGATCAAGTCTGTGGCACAGGCAATGAAGATGTTTATATCTGAGCTCTTGTTTTGATTCTTGTTTCCTGGAGCACCTTATGAATCCAGATTAAGCATTCTTGACACACACTATAAAGCAGGCCTAGATGACAGATTAAAAATATGGGGAAAACCTTCCCTTCTGCTCTCATCACATGCAAATATATTATAAAAACTAATGAACACATAACCACACTTAAGAACAAGGAAGGAAATTTCCATAGTCTAGAAATGGAGATTTCTTCCTAAAAGAAAGAAATAGCTGGGACCTGTGATGATGAGCAGGGACTATGAGTGGTGGGGAGCCAGATCCCAGTTACTGCCTAAACTGGAGGAGGCAGACACGTTTCCAATCAGTGCCTGCAGTCTAAGATTATAGCCAGAGCTGAGTCAGGTGCTCCTGCCTGGGGCCTAGGCCTTCACCTCTCAGTGTGATATGGGCTTAGCATTGAGCTGCAGAATGCCCTGAGGCATCTGAATTGTGGGAAGAGGCCCATGTAGATATTGGAAGGCAGTCTTGGGGCCATTTGTGCAAGGAATTCTGGGGTCTGTAAAGGTAAGAGTAGCTCTGGGTTGGCATAGCCCCTTGGACTTCTCACCCTATGATGATGGGCAGGGCTTTGAAGAATGAGGCCAGGGAGCTGTCCTTTTTGCGAGGTCAAAGAACTCTGCTCCTGGGGTGCTCATGGGAGAAATCTGCAGATGATCTTAACCCAAGAGTCACAAAGCATCTAAGGAGCACAGACATCAGAAAACAAAGAAAATGGAAGAATAAATTCCTGAGCAAAAGGAGTAAATGGAACAATCTGAAAAAGACTTAGAAAGTACTTCTTACATCCTCAGAGAGATAAAGGGGGAAATAGCAATGACCACAAGAATGGAAGCTATGAAAAAGAATCAGTTGGAATCATTGGGAAGGAAAACTATGAAGTTTGAAATAAAATGAACTCAGTAGTAAACTAGAAAGAGCTGAAAAGTAAATTAGTGAAATGAAAGATTAAATGAACAGTATTCCAGAATGTAACATATGAAGGTAGAGTAAGATTTTTTTAAATGGTAAGAGACATGGGATATAGGATTTTAAGATTCAGAAATTGACAATAGAAAAAATGGTGATGAAGCAATGAGAGAAGAGAAAATGGCTAAGAATTTTCCACAACTGAAGAAAGACATGAGCCCCCAGTTTGAAAAATTCTGTTGAGTACCAAACAGATACATTAAAAAAAACTCCCACCTAGTAATAAAGGAAAAGAAAAAATTGCAAAAGCTGTTTGAAAGAACAGTCAGATTATGCACAAAGGAACAATAACCAAATTGACATTTTACAGTACTATCTCTAAAGAGCTTTGGGAAAATAATTGCAAACCTAGAATTCATTTACCAGCTAAACTATTGTTTACGAGTGAATGTGAAGTAGACATTTTCATTGGACATTTCATAGGGTCCATCTCATGGGATATTGTAAATATTAAGTAAATTCATCTCTGTAATGTGCTTAGAACACTGCTTGGCATGTAAAATATTCTGTAACTGTTAACTATTAATAAAGTAGTTCTGAAATAAAAGAATTAAAGGGTATACTTCAACAAGAATAAAAACTCACAAGTAAGAATATGATGAGCAAAAAAAGAGAAAAATATGTAATTAAAATTTTAAGATGTTGAGCTTCTAAAAAAGAAAAGAAGCAAGTACTAAAAACACTAGATCAGGATTGGTAAACTCTGGCCCACAAGCCAAACTGGTCTGTTGCCTTTTTTTATATGGCCTGGAAGGTAAGGATGATTTAAAATTTTTAAATGGATGAAAAAAAATCCTACTACTTTGTGACATGTGAAAATTATTTGTACTATTTGTGGCATATGAAAATTTTATGAATTAAAAATTTTGGTGACCCTAGAAAAGTTTTGTTGAAACATAGCCACTGTCTTGCCAGTGGGTTTCAGCCCTGGGCAAGTTCACTATGGATTCAATGTGACCAAAGAAATGACAGTAGAATGTTCTTGGGGTGAAAGGGTTTATACCCAACTTTCTTCCCATGGTGGCAGGTCAATCACTAGAATCCCATCCACTCAGAGCGAGTCTGCATGCAGCAAGCCGGTCTCTGCCTCTGGGCCTCTCTGCCCCCACAGCCATCTCAGTCTCTGTCCTCGGCGCTGCCACCGCTCCAGTCTCATCTCTGCTCTCCTGCAGCCTTGCAGCCATGCCACCATTTTCTCCCAGAGCACTGGGTGGAGCTCTTTGTATATAGAGTCAGTAACAACATATTGCCCACATGTGTGTAGTGAGCTAGATGACCAGGGCCAGGTGAGAATCCTGGCCGTAGGAACCTTCACTTTATCCACACTCCACCCCTCCAGGATTCTTGCCTCTCAATCTATGTGCCCTCAATCCTCTGCAATGGTCCCTGTGCGAGAGAGCTGGAGCATTGTAAAAGAACCATGTGTGGGCCTTACCATATCCACCTTCTCCAGCCTCTCCAGCAAAAAGTCTTACAGACACATAGGCCATCTTGTTGCTGTAGCTCTGCCTTCTGCTTCATCCTCAGTGGCCAGAACCACTGCTCCTGTCTCAGTTGTTGCCACAGCCAATTTCTTTCTGTCTGCTCCTGCCTTTTCAAACCAACCCAAATCTGGGTCCTTGTGACCTTTATGAGGCCTTTTAAATTCTTCCTTTAAGAAGCAGACCGTATTTCCTTTTGTGCTTGAGCCTGAGGATAGAAGCAGAGCATGGAGTGCTTCACAACCTGAGGAGGGGCCTGCACCTCTCCTGGAGGAACCCGTAGTTGCTGAGTCATTCTGGCTTTCCACCAGCTTTCAATCAGGTGGGGTTTCAACTGAGGAGGGACCGATGCCTCCGGCACTGACAGGGCCTCCACCTCAACCTGTTCGTCAAACCTCCACTCCATTTCTGGGGCTGATGGCTCCACTACACCCTTCATCTGCCCCATGGCACCTGGAAGCCTGCACTCCCATACTGCTGCTTCTCGGGCCGCTGCTCCTTCTCATGCTGCTTCCTCTCAGGCTACCACGACATCCTTTACTATTTCCACAGCACTTTGTGGTGATGCCATTTCAGTCAGCAACAAATTTTCTTTCTCTTTGGGTGGACCCCAGTCCTCCAGTCCTTCACAATACCACATGTCCACTGGAGAACACTCAAATGTCTCCCTGTCCATAGGTGCAGCCCTCTGAAACGCTCCTCCCGTGAGGGCAGCCTTTTCTTTTTCTTGGTCAACAGTGAATCTTGACGACTGCACCAGTTGTCTTGCCAATGGGTTTCACCCCAGGCAAGTCCACTGTGGATTCATCTGACCAAAGAAATGACAGTAGAACGTTCTTAGGGTGAAAGGGTTATACCCAATTTTATTTCCACGGTGGCAGGTCAGTCACTAGAATCCTGTCCACTCAGAACAAGTCTGCATGCAGCAAGCCGGTCTCTGCCTCTGGGCCTCTCTGCCCCCGCAGCCTTCTCAGTCTCTGTCCTCGGCACTGCCACCACTCCAGTCTCATCTCTGCTCCCCTGCAGCCTTGCAGCTGTGCCACCGCTTTCACCCAGAGTACTGGGC